CTTGGACCCTTAGGGTTATAGCCTTTCTTCATTTCCCCGCTCCCCCTTCGGCTCCAGCAAGTCACTGAAGAGTTGAGGGTGAGCTTTGGGTTTCAAAGCTATAAGTTCTAAGGTTGGGTCATGCTGGGTCTAAGGTTAAGACGTCAGCTTAGGGGTTAAGGGTTCAGGGGTGTAGGGTTTATGGTATAGGGTCCAAGGTATAGGGCTAGGTTTGGGGGCTTTGGGCTTCGCTTAATGATTGAGGGTTGCTCACGAGTAAGGGACTACTATTTTACGGGTATGCAAAATTAAGACGAACGTTTCCGGCATCTGAAGACGGAATGTTCAACTTACCCGAAGCGTCGGGATACCAACATACCCTGGAGTTTAAGCGTGGGGCCTATACCTTCGAGAGTATAACCCCTTATCAGACCAAAGCTCAACCTGCAAAGGATCTCTAACTCTTAGCCCGGGCGGCACCGCAGCGAAAGTCAGAGGACGTCAAAGAGCAGCAATCCCTTGGCGATTCAACATTTTACTATGGTTGGTTTAGGGTTTAGGGTTTAGGGTTTAGGGTTTTCGGGGGTTGGGAAGGAGGCCATTCAAACGCATCGGCTTCGAGTAGATATACACGACGGCCCGGCCAGGAGAGAAATGTCACAGCTCCGCCAGTAGATGTGTGCACTTGCGTGGCCAGGGGATGCTCCATCTTTTTGCGAAACTAGCCTGGCGGAGCCGATGCCCAGATCACCTGGCGGAGCCGTTGCAAAGATCTACTGACGGAGCCTTTGCACAGATCGATTGGCGGAGCGATTGCACAGATCTATACGTGGCAGAGCCGCTACACAGATCTACTGGCGGTGCCGTTGCACAGATCTACTTGCGGAGCCGTTACGGATACTTTCTGACGGAGCCGGAAGGTTGAATGTGTTACATGGCTGGGCCATGGAAGCACGATGCACTCGAGATAGCTCTGTGGCCTGACCATCCCTGCTTCAACTCCGGGTTATAGTCCCCCTTAAGTAGATAGAATATGGGGTATATGTATATGGGGATCTTACTATAATATACCCCAAAGCCATATTCTATCTACTTAAGGGGGACTATAGGACTAAGGCGAGGGTAGGGTGCCCTTGGCGACCTCCAGCGGCGCATCTCCTCGCTGCCCTGCTGTGCAAGGCAAGGGCCACGCGCTGACACGGAACCGAGCCGAAGCGAATCGCAAAAAGCAATGCCTAGCAAGTCTGGTAGGTGTCGGGCATAGGTCCAACCTATACATTACAACCACAGTTATGGAGATTTCAGGGTTTTCATGGGTTTTCTATCGCATTTTGGAGTCTTCTCACTTTGCGGCTCAGGGCAACGCTTCATCTTAGAATCATATCTCAAAATGCGTCAAACTCTTCAACTAGAATGCCCGCAAACCTAATGGAACCCTACTCGGAGGGTCAGGGGACTTATTAAGTAGGTTTATACTGGGGATAACTACAGTTATTAAATGATTTATAGGGGTTCTAAGTATGCTTAGTAAGTCCACTGACCCTCCAAGTAGACCCTTCAGGACTTCGTAGCTACCCGCCCTCGGATCAACATGGAAGCCCGCATTTTAAGAAACGACAGCAGCCCTCGTTGGGCCCCTTCTGGCTTTCCACGTTTGTTTGGGGGATGGTCCTCTTCCCAAGCCCGTGCTCCGGCTGGGTTGCGGTCAAGGAACTTAAGCTCCTTACCCACCAAAAAAAGAATTTCGTATAACAGCAACACCCAAAAAGAGGGGAACACGTCATGGTAGGCCAGCAAACTGCTTCCCGGAAAGCTAGGCACCCCTTCTTCTGGGAAACCCCATAATCGGAAATGCAGAAGCAGCACCCCATATCCAAAGTCTGAAAAACCAAAACCGTTCTGTGTTTGGGGATGGGGGTTTAGGGTTTGACCATCACAACAGGTGTACCTCAAAATGTCTGGCCGTATCTGGTTCTTGCTGCTCTTCGGCACTGTGGTTGTTGAGACGTATACTGCCGTAACTGGGTTGCTGTTCAGGAACTTAATTTAAGTCACTATGGTGCGGAAACCATATTGTTATCCTTAATAACTATATATTTGCCCATTATGGTGACTTGAAATAAGTTCCGTAACAGCAACCCAGATAATCGTTCTTCACTCCCTTTTGTATCTCGGGTTCAGCCCGACATTTGCCGAAAATCCTCCTGCTCGTACCCAAGCGCTAAACGACCCTTAGCCCCAAATCCTAAGCCTGAACACTGCGCACACTTGGTGGACAACTTCACTTACTGCATGAAGGGAGAGGGGGTGTGAACGCAAGCACCGCTCTAGAACGGCTTATAGTAGTTTCCATTCTCTTGTCCTCTATCCCCATGTAATCCCTATATAACCCTTCTATGACCCCTAAACCTAAACCCTAATCCCCAAAACATGAGAAAGTTGATTAGGATACATTATGCCCTAAGTGTCCAAGCACCGAATACTCATACACTTACCCAAAACCTGTACTATACTTCTATTACCCTAGACCCAAGTACCGAATTCTTGGGTACGTCGACCCTCTGAGATGCAGATCCGCTCCCCCAACTCGACCTTAAGCCCCAGTAAGTCTATAGTCCCCCTTAAGTAGATAGAATATGGCTTTGGGTATGTTATAATAAGATCCCCATATACACCATATATCTACTTAAGGGGGACTATAAAGCCTTCCATGACAGGCGAGTCTGCTCAGGCGGGTACCGGCCCACCGCCCAGAAGTCGTAGGACCTCGGCAGAGATCATGCATAGGGTTTAGGGTTTAGAGTTTATTGCAGGATTGAGCTTTATGATTTGAGGCTTCTGTTACAGCATTTATGATTCAAGGCGTAGAGTTCTGGACTTTGGGAATCGGCCCTTTCAATTAACTGTACTAGCGAAGATCTTCTGGGATAGTAGACTTACCGAGGTTCTCTACAAGTTTGTCTAGGCATTGTGGTGTAGCATTTTTGCAATTTTCGTTTGATCTTCGGTGCCATTCATGAGATTGCCAAAGCTGAAGCTTCATGATGGGGTGGTGCTTCTCGTTAAACTTGCCTACGGTGGGGAATGGATTTATCGTACTGGTTGGGGAGTTGGCCCTTGCGCTGCCTGGCTTGCATATGAATGCCTGCTTTAAGTAGGCTTGGGGTTTAGGGTTGGGTTTTTGGTTTAGGGTGTAGGGTTCAGGGTGTAGGCAAGACATTCCGTGACAAACCAAATGCAATCATCTCTGCCTCGGAAACTGGAGATGCCGAAGATTAACACTTCCTGCTTCTTGAGACAGATGTATGTTACGGAGAGTGCTAAAAGCAGTATCCTGACCGCGATGCACCCAACTCCACGCAAGAAGACCCTCAACCCCAACACCCTGCGCCCCCCGACCCTTGATCCTGAACCCTTGAGCCTGTATTCAGGCCTTCTGAGCTGCCCCCTGAACTGCCAAAGCCAAAAGCCCTCAACCCGCAACCTCCTATACCCTGCAGTCCTACCACCGTTGATCTTATAAGTAGAACTATTCTTACTATTCTTATTGTTGTATCCCAATATGACTACTATTGTGATCTTTGCTGCATGTATTATGGTTGTTATCATCCCGAGCCTCTGAACTGAGGGACCGGGCCCGCTCGCTGGTCCTTGCGTGCGGTTCGTGACCACCGGGGCCACACAGTAGGTCTCGTGGTGCTTGAAATGCCAGGCCCTGAACCGCATTGCTGCTAAGGAACTTAAGTTAAGTCACTATAATGTGATGGCGTAGAAATAAGGTTTCCTTATGATCGTAGCTTAATTCAAGTTCCTGAGCAGCAACCCAGTCAAGAGCTAATCTCAGGTTTTGGGCTTAGGGTTTAGGATATAAGGCTTAGGGCTTGTAAATCGAAAAGGGACTCAACAGGGGCTGCGGCCCCGAGTTCAAGCGCTTGGAAACACCTTCATTTTTGGCAACCTCGATCCCTAAACCCCAAACCCTTAACCCTAAAGCCAAAACCACATGCCCCAGACTACACCCCAAGCCTCATGTGTTCTATATAGCACTAGCTGCTATATGAGCACGGCAGCGCCACGGTGATAACAAAGAAAGCAGGAATGATTGTATGAGGATGTAAGAAACTGCCTGGTTATAGTCGTACACCTAATTGCCCTGATTGTTGGATGAGCGTATAGGTATAGGATACTACCCGGTGACAACTAAACCCTAAACCGCAAGCTCCAAGCCCCTAAACCCCACACCTGGCAGCGAAGCGCCAGCCTCATCTCATCCAGGTAGTTGCCCTTGGCAAACTCCACGATGCCAGCCTCAGAATTTGCCAGAAGGACCCACTTTAGCTAGGCCGTTGTGGAGGAATTGGGGATTTAGGGCTTGAGGGTTTAGGGTTGTGGGTGTAGGGTTGCTGGTTGAGGGTTACAGCTTGAGAGTTCTGGTTTGATGGTTAAGGATTGGAGGATTTAGGATGAAATCGCTGCGTACTTCCATCTCCGGTACTATCCCACCCACCAAAAGAAGGCCTCCATAAACCCCAAATACTGCTTGGTTAAACCTTCTTTAAACCTTCTTCGGGTGGGTAGTAGTTAAGGTAGGGTTGTATACAACCTCATAGCTGAGGTCAACAGCGCATGTGCTGTAGTACTCCAAGCCAAAACGTGAGCAAATCCCAGAACCCCTAAAGCCTAAACCCTAAACCCCCCCGCCCCCAACCCCCTACCATGGATGGGCAAGCTTCTGAGAAGATTCCACTGGACGCTTACACACTGAGCCTGGCATCCTACACGCGAAGCCGCTAAGCCCTACGCCCCAGATCCTAAACTCTAACCACTAAACCCTGAATCCCCAATCCCAAACCCCTAATTTTAACCCTAACTCCAAAACCCTGCACACTACGTACGTCCTAAACCCTATATCCTAATCCATAGATCGCAAAGCCCAAATCCTCAACCTCACATCCTTGGGACCCTCACATCGAGCATGGAGTCACCTTGCACAGTGGAGACGTCGACATCAGAGAGCACCTGCCATTCGAATCAACGCTGCCACTTCCAATTGCATCTTGCACCAGTAGTTACGAAATTGGACATGTCTAGAAATGAAGGTACCCCTATACACCGCAGAGCAGAGTTCTTGATTGAGGGACAATTCGGGAGCCCCTGCAAGAGGGACCCACCAGTTTCCCCGTGAATGAAAAGCTTCGCACTCAGGCACCAGCCAACTAGCCATGATCTAAACATTCCATGCAAGTGTCCCCCATCAACAGGCCCCATTTTTTGCCTATAGAGCCGATTCGGGAGGCAGCGTTTAAAGATGTCCTGCCACTCATGCCCGTGAAGGCGCTCGATGAGGATCTGTACCACCACATCTATGTTGAGAATGGGGTGGAAGCCCTTTGGGCCCTGCTCCTTCAGAGGCAGCTTCCGAAGCTGATGAAGGCCAATTTTCCCGGTCTTTTGAGCTTGATGGAAAGTCCGATTCTTCTGCGGCCTTCGGTCTACGAGGCCTCCTATGACATAGATCTTGTCCTCATCCACGGTATCTAAGCAGTAGCCGGCGTCTGGCGACAGGACGACCACATCCTCCGGAGGGAACAACTCCCAAAAGCTCTCCTCATGCACGTGGACTTTCCAGCCAGAGATCCCGATGCCGTCAAAATGCGATTTGGCTGGATTCTCCGAGCCCAGTGAGGTCAAATGCAACTGGACATTCGCCTCCAGAACTGCAAGTTTCTAGTACCACTGAGTTTAGGGTTTATGGTTTAGGGGACCATTTCATGGCTTGTTTTCAAAAGCCCAACAATACAAACCCTAAAGATACAAAACGAAACACCCTGAGCCTGAGTGCGCCGGAGAATGGTATAGACCAGCTTAACTTGCTGGGCCAGCGACTTGTTGTCCCGGTCCTGCATGTACTCGCCTTACTGGTAGGTAACGCGAAATCGGCTGCTGATAGCATTACTTATACAGTCCCTAGTACAACTACCAACAGCGGTCCGTACATATCCTATTCTGCTATTCCCTACTACCCCTAAACCCTAGCCAACATGGCAGCTTACAACGTCTTCGTCACGAATACTTTTGTACTTTCAATTTCCCTACTAACAGCCAGAACCCTACACCCTACGCGCCACACATCCTCTTCATTCCCCGATACCCAACAGGACCCTGAACTCTTAACCCTAAACCCTAAACCCCTAAACTGCCAGTGAGGTACCAAAGCTGCAATTGATGACAAACCTTGGGCGGCCCGACTCGTACGCCCGCGCCAGGCTCCTTTCCATCTCCACCTCGCATGTTTAGGGTTTAGGGTTTAGGGTGCACCCCCTAGACCATAAACCCTACCTAGACCCTCCAATGTAGTACCTTTTTGGTAATCCGAATAAGAATCCTAACCAAAAAACCATACCAAACCCAAAAAGGAACTACATTGGAGGGTCCATGTAAGCCCTGAACCCTGAACCCTAAACCCTATACCCTTAACCTTCAGGGGAGTTTTCCTTTGTACCCTCAGGGTTGTGCCCTTGGGCTTGGATCCCCACATGATGGAAATGTGACCCCTAACTTGGCTTCTTTTCATCTCCACCTTGACATGAGGTTTAGGGTTCAGGGTTTGCGTGGGGGTTTAGGGTTTAGGGTTTTTGTGGAGAGGGGGAGGAAAGTTAGGTGGGATAGACATAGGGATATATGGTAATATGGGATAAAGAGGTATATATGAAGATAAGTAGAGTTTAGGGTTTAGGGTGTTTAAGAATAAGGGGACTCATGTGGGGGTCCCTGAAAGCAGTATGATCATACCTCGCGGTGTACGAAACAATCCACTTGTCGAACATACTTAACAGAAACCTAAATGAGAGGGACCAGTACGATGCATCAACCGCAGGAAAATCCCTGAACCCTAGACCCTAAGCTCTAAGCCCCAAACTCTTAAGATTATAGCTTGAAAGCTTGAATTAAATACCCTAAACGAAAACGCCTACACCCTCGACCTTAAATAGTAAGGTAGCTTCCATTTCCCTACTCATCCACCTGCTTGTCCTTCTCTGCAAAGAAATAGGCTCGTCTCTCCTCGTCAGTCATCGTCGAAAGCAGCTTTTGCCTGAGGCTTTGACTGAAATGGCGGTTTGCCAGGGTTTAGGGTTTAGGGTTTGGGATTGGGTGTAGGGCTTAGGGTTTAGGGTTGGCTTTGAGTTAGGGTTTACTCTAAATCCCGAAGCCCCCAAAACCCAGAAAACCCCCAAGCCCAAAACCAGGGCCTAAACATCTGCCAATATCATGTTGAGGCCGATTTGAGGCACCTCACACTCATCAATGAAAAAAGAAGCTGGGAGCATAATATTGGTAATCATTTCACCCCTACGCCCTGAACCCTAAACCGTAAACCTTAAACACCTAACCCTAAACCCCTAAACCTAAAAACCTGAACCCTAAAGTCTAGGGATTCAAGGTCTAGGGCCTAACCCTAACAGCCTAAACCCCGGAACCCCAACCCAAAACCCCAAAACCCCTAAGCCCCAAACCCCAAACCCTCAATCCCAAAACCCTAAGCCCTAAACTCTAGTTTGCAACCCTGTTTTTCAAACCTCTTCACCTGGCTTCCTTCTTTCGGCGGGCCGCCCGCCGGCGCTCCGAGGCCCGCCCGGCCTTCCTCTTTTCCTCAGGGTAAGGGTTTAGGGTTTAGGGTTGGACCCCCAAAGTGGGTAAAATAATAGCCCAAAAGCCCTAAATATAGCCTAAAAGGCCATTATTCTACATACTTTTGGGGTGTAGGTAGGGGTGAGGGTTTGAGGCATAGGTGTTAGGGTTGAGGGCTTATAAGAGTTTAGGGTGTAATTAGGGGCTTAATGTTTAGAATGAGGGTTTAGGGTTTAAGGTCGGGGTTGAGGGATTCGGGTTTTGGGCTTAGTGTTTTGAAGCGTTATGTAGGGCATAAAAGCGATGATACATATTACAGGGGATGGCAACCAAGAGAACCCAAACTACAATATAACTTAGGGATAGGGCTTCGCGTTTATGACTTTTTTTGGTGGTCGAACCAAGTGGGCATTTCGAGAAATCCCATTTTCACTGAGATGTAAGGGTTTCGGGTTTGGGGGGCTGGGGTAAGAACGCGTATAGTCAGACATACATGCAGCAAAATCCCATTCAAACCATGTTGGCCCCGAAAATTGCACAAACCCCCTGCATGCGCCTCCGTCCATCACATGATCCATTTTCTTTTCCATTTGGCTCGCCACTGTTCTAATCGTTTAGGCTCCACGCCCCAAACCCTATTTGTCCCTCTATGACCTCTATAACCACTTTGACGGGTCCCTAGTTCTGATCATGTAGGCCCCGAGACCCTAAACCCTTAAACCCTTAAACCCAAAATCCTAAACCCTAAACCCTGAATCCTAAACCCTAAACCCTGAAGCCTAAACCACCTAACCCTGAATCCTAAACCACCTAACCCTGAATCCTATACCCTTACCTAAACCACAAAAGTGTGTAAAATAATGGCCCTAAACCCATAATAATACCCCTAAAGGCACTTTTTTGCATACTTTTGGGGTTCTGGTAGTCACATAAACCCTAAACCCTAAACGCTAAACCCAGTCTCCTTCATCTCTTGGAATCGCTGCTCCTTGCGCCAGGATCGCTTCTCTGAAGGAGTCAAATGGCTCGGGGCATCAAGCTTTGGATAAACCTGGGCCGTTGCTTAGGGTTTAGGGTTTAGGGTTTAGGGTTGGGCTCTTGCTTGCCATTTGGGAAAATGTTAGGGTCATATTAGGGTTATATTGGGGTTATATGGGGATAGTGGAAAAGAAAATGCAAACTAGTATAATGGGTTATATAGGGTATTGGGTTAGGGGTTGCGGAGCCTAGGCGTTTTTGGGTTTAGGCTTTGGGGTGCCGGCTATGGCTGGGGGGGGTTAGGGCTTCGGGCTTAGGGTTTAGGGTTGAGGAGCTTTGGCGTTTTGGGTCTAGGATTTGGGGTCAAGGGTAGGGTTTGCTGTATCGGATTGAGGACATCTCGCACCACTTAACCCGCATAATTGTGTAGCTCCAGGTATGAGATATACAGATAGAGACAGATAGAGCGACGAAAGAGAGAGAGAGAGAGAGAGAGAGAGAGAAAGAGAGAGGGAGGAAGGGGGTGGTGCAGATTTCCCCCATCCCCCCCCCCCTCACCGTTTTTCACTGGATTGGCCGCATTGTCGATTCATAGATAGACAAATATGTTGAATAGCATATACTTCAAGATGACCATCTCTAGTCTACATTGAATCCATTCATTCGCAAAAACTCTTGAACAAGTTGAAAGAAACCCTCCGCCGTGGCTCCACTAGCTTCACAGGTTCCACAGGTTCCGCTATGACCTTCGCAGCTTTCGCAGATTGCTGGGCCTTCGGCAGCCCCTCGCGGCCACCCCGCTGCAACCAGCCCCTTACCTGGGTTGCTGTTAAGGAACTTAACTTAAGTTACTTTATTATCCCCCTATAATGGAGAATCAAATGGAAAAGAACATGGAAAATGAAATGGAAACTGGGGTAATATAGGGGCTTAAGGAACTTAACTTAAGATACAATATTGGGGAAACCCTATTAATTACTATGTATACCCATTATGGTAACTTAATTTAAGCTCCTTAACAGCAACGCAGTCACCGGCTTCGCAACAGCTGCCCAAAGACTCAGCAGCCAGGCCCTCGGCCCCGGGCGCTGAGAAACCTTTTCCTGCGTTGCTGATAAGGAATTCGAATAAAGTTACCATACTAATGTAGACCCCTGATTAATAAACCCCCTCCCCTTAGTAGGGTTTATAATAGCGAGCCTTATATTAAGACCCTTAAAGGGAGGGGGATCATTTAATCATGGGTCTACATTTGCGTAAGGAAGTAAGTAAAGGGGTTTGCCTCACTACAGCAGTTGAAAACACCTGAACAGCAACCCAGTTTCCGGTTCTGCTCTGTTTTTTACATGCGGATAGCCATGACCGCGTCTCTGACTCCACACTGGAGCTTGGCAAAGAACTTTCCCCGAGGCTGCAAGCATGGCGAGATCTATACTACGGCGCACTGAGGACCCCTACAAAGGGTTAACCCCTATAGGCCCTAGGTATCTATAAAAGGAGTAAAAAGGAATCCCAAAGGGTTGAAGGTCTAAGGTCCAAGCTAAGTTCCAAGGAGACCCTAAACCCTATAGTAGTTTCCATTTTCTTTTTCATTATATAACCCTATAGTACCCTATAATGTATAATAGTTTCCATTTTCTTTTCCAGTATCCCTATATAACCCCTATAAGGAGTAGATAGCAACTAGAAAAGCGAAGGGAAGGACTTTGAACTGTTGGGCCTGATGCTGGGTTGCTGTTAAGGAGCTTAAATTAAGTTACCATAATGGGTATATATAGTAAATCATAGGGTTTCCCTAATACAGTAACTCAAATTAAGTTCCTTAACAGCAACCCAGGATGTGTGGAGACCTTGGCAGGAACATCCGCCTTTCCATGGTCCCGGTGTTACCCCTCCGTATTTCCCTGTCCAGATGACACCAACAAACGCACCGCAGCTTTGACCCGACAGCTGCGACGTGCTTTCGGCAAGCCCCAAACCGGTTGATCCTAAGGCGGGGCTTGACATTTCGGGTCTAGGGTTTCGGATTTAATGGCTTAGATTTCTTGGATGTTGAGTTCAGGATTTAGGGTCGTTTAGGCTGCTTTTCGTTTGGGGGCCTTCTTCAGCATTCTCTAAACAGAGATAAGACGTTACACTAAATCTTTCTCAGCAGTATGTCTAGGCTTTCGGGGGTTGCCGCCCGACTTTCAAAGGATCGACCATTGGGAAAACACCTCCGGCAAGAGCGACGGAATCCCAAACCCACGTGGTTTTAGGGCTTGGGGCTTCGGAGGGCTGAGTACTTTGAACAACTTCATGGTCGAAAACCTGCCTGAAGTTGGAAATCCTAGTTCCCATAAAGTGTGGCCTGGTCATAGGGCATGCGCTGTAGGATTGGTTCCCTTGATAGAAGTGGCTCTCGTGGTAGTCGTGGTCATGGTGGCCTTCGTGGTTGTGGTCATGGTCATGCTGGTGGTACTACTAGTGGTCGTAGTCCTCGTCGTGGTAACAGGTGGCAGCAGCAGTGGTAGGAATGGCATAAACCCCAAAACCCTAGTGCCATTGACCTGGCCTTGAGGTCGCCAACGCGGTAATAATGTTGCATGAGACCTTTGGTGGATGGAGGACATCAAGGGTTGAGGGTTTAGGATTTTGGGCTTAGGCTTGGGGATATAAGGCTCAGGGTTTA